ACCTTGTCCCCAGCCCAGAGCACTCAGTGCCATGGCCAGGCCTTCCTGGGACACCTCCAGGGCTGGGCACTCCAAACCTCCCTGGGCAGCCCCTGCCAAGGCCTGACCACCCTTTCCATGGACAAATTCCTGCTGATGTCCAACCTGAGCCTCCCCTGGCACAGCTGGAGGCCGTTCCCTCTCCTCCTGTCCCTTGTTCCCTGGGAGCAGAGCCCGACCCCCCCCAGCTCCCCCCTCCTGTCAGGGAGTTGCAGAGCCAGAAGGTCCCCCCTGAGCCTCCTTTGCTCCAGGCTGAGCCCCCCCAGGTCCCTCAGCTGCTTCTGCTGCTCCAGCCCCTTCCCAGCTCCGTTCCCTTCCCTGCACACGCTCCAGCCCCTCCGGGTCCTTCCTGAGCTGAACTGGACACAGCTGATGCAAAGAAGAGGCAAAACACACCCAAGGACTGACCAAGCCCCACAACCCTCAGCCACAGAGGGTTTAAATCCACACAGGAGGATTTTCCCAGCACTCCCACAGCTGTTTTACTGCAGAACCCCTGAGCCCTGAACCCCACATGTGGTCTGTGCCCCGAGTGACGGTGCCACGCTGGCTCGTGGCCGTGGAGAGCTGGGCACCGGTGGGATCCCAGCTGCACCACCACCTCCCTCCCTGGGGAGCCCAGTCCTTCACCTCCTGTCTCCAGCCCCACAGAGCTCCCGCTGAGGAGGCAGCACCCCCAGAGTGGGGCCAACCCCACGGAACTGCACCAAGGCTGGAACACCAGCTTTGAAATCTCCCCACGGCTTTCCAGAGGGATGATGAAAACAAGACTGGTTTCTCTCGCTGGGGGCAAGGCTTTCATGCAGCTTTGTCAAGGCCAAGCCCCTCTGCCCCAGGACTGACAGGGAGGTTCCTCCTCCAGCCTCCCACCACCCAGGGACCACATCTGACAGCACCTCCCACCCGGCACAGCCACCCCGGGCAGGGCAGCGGGGGCTCTCCCCAGTCTCCCCTTCCTCCCTCGGGCTGCTGGGTTTGTTAACACAACACCATCAAAGGCACCTTCCCCTCAGCTCACAAAGGGAAACTTGATCCTCGAACTCCCACTCCAAGCAGGGAGAGGAGCTGGGGATGAGCTGAGCCCAGAGGAACCAGCGGGGAGGGTGTTGGCACACTCACTGCAGCAGGACAGGGTCCTGGCACACTCACTGCAGCAGGACAGGGTGCTGGCACACTCACTGCCAGCAGCAGGACAGGGTGCTGGCACACTCACTGCCAGCAGCAGGACAGAGTGCTGGCACACTCACTGCCAGCAGCAGGACAGAGTGCTGGCACACTCACTGCCAGCTGTTCCAGCCACCCAGGAGGTTTGAAGCACAAACCTTCAGGCTGAAGGTCTCTGCTTTCAAGCCTTCCAGGAGCTGTCACGGCACAGAGCTGGAAGGGGAATCCCCAGGGGTGTTGGACAGACCTGTGTGGAAACAGAAAAAACCTTCCCTGCCACGGGGAGATCCAGGGCTGGATTCTGGCTCAGCCAAATCCAGGGATCAGCATCCTCCTGGCAAAGGCCTCCCCACAGACCCTGCAGCTCCTGTGGCACTGAGGCACATAATCCCAGGATGGGTTGGCTTGGAAGGGACCTTAAAGCCCATCCAGTGCCACCCCTGCCATGGGCAGGGACACCTTCCACTGTCCCAGGTTGCTCCAAGCCCTGTCCAACCTGGTCTTGGACACTTCCAGGGATGGGGCAGCCACAGCTTCTCTGGGCAACCTGTGCCAGGGCCTCACCACCCTCCCAGGGAAGGATTCCTTCCCAATCTCCCATCTAATCCTGCCCTATGGCAGTGGGAAGCCATTCCCTTGTCCTGTCACTCCAGGCCCTTGTCCCAAGTCCTCTTCCAGCTCCTTGGAGCCCATTCAGGTACTGAAAGGCCTGGGAGTCTCCATTTCAAATCGATTTTGGTTTCTTTCCTGGCTGTTTCAGCTCATTTTTGGGGAGTACCAGAGACTATCACCACGGAAACCTTGTGGGGACTAACCCTTGCCTCCAGCTGGATCAACAGATTCCAGCATAAACCACCCCCAGCCCTCCATCAGGATCTCCTGGGCAGGGATGGGCTCCAATTCCAACAGCTGCCCAGGTTAATTATGCAAATGAAGGCAAAAAGCACCCCCAGCACATGAAGAAAGGCACCTCCTCCCAGGGACCACCTACCCTGGGATAACTCTGCAGCTTCCCCCACAAAATGCTCCAGCAGGACTCAGCTGTGGGAGTGGAAGGGGTGGGAAGCAGCTCCAGAGGGGCCTGGAGAGCTCGAGGGAGAAGAGCTGGGAGGCACCTTCCTAAAGCAGGGATCCTGCTGCCTGACCCCCTCCTTCCCAGAGCATCCAGCCTCACAAAAAGCTCTCCATAACAGCCAGGCAGTGACTCCCTGGAGCTTCTCCAGCCTCCTCAGTCACGAGTCAGGGCTGTTGGTTCAGATCCAAGCAAAAAAATTACTTTGAAACCTCAAAAATTAGGGTTTTTTGATGTAATAATCTCCCTCCTCCGTCTCTGAGACTAAAGAAACCCAAGCCAATTATGTCTTTGAAGGCTAAATATTTACTGCCAGCTGAAGCAGAGCAGCTCAGGCTGGAGATGAATTATCCAGCTCTGATGTCATGGAATGCCCGGGAGCCAGAAAACCCCAGCGAAAACAGGGAGGAACAAACAACAACAACAACAAAAAGGGTGTTTTCTCCTGGAAAAGCCTCTCAGAGAGGGGAAGGGGTGAAACTGTTCCAGCTCAGCTGAGACACCACACTCCTATTCCAAAGCACTCATTAGATAAGATACTTAACGAGGGAACACGTGGAGTGTGACGGAACCTCTCCAAGGGAAAACTGGCCTTGGGAAAGAGCCGGAGTCTCACTCTGGAGCAAAACCCCAGAGAGTCCACAGGGCAGGTGTGGGAACTCCTCCTCCACCTCCACCAGCAATTAGGGACCCACATAATGAGTGTTCATCAATCACTGTCAGCTCTGGTTTTACAATCAAACCCCTCCCGCCTCATTTCCATCCCAATCCTGGATTTCAAAGCTCTCCCTTTTGCCCCCTCCAGTCACTATTCTTTCCCAGGCAGCCGGTGCCAACCCTCTGGTTAAGGGCATCCAAACCCAAGCAGGATTGAGATCCAACCCCGGGCACCCGGTGGGGTGACTCATCCCTCTGGAAGCCCGGGAGCAGGAGCGTTCCCGGGGCCCGGAGTTTCAGTTGCGATCCCATCTCGCTCATGACAACACGCAGAAGTATTTCCTCGGGGGATCTTCCCGTGGGACTTAACTCTGACACATATTCCCACAGGAGCTGTTCTTTCAGGAGCATGCTTTGCCAGGGAGGCAGTGGGAATGTGACTCTGGGAAGCCCCGAGTGCCCCAGTCGTGCCCCGCATTCAGCCCACGGAAGGACCCGCCGGGCTGCAGGAATGGGAGGGCTGGTTTGGAGCAGAGGTCTGCAGCTCCCAGCATCCTGTTTATGCTGCTCCTCTCCGCCCCTGGGCAGTGGGAGAACGCTCCAGCCCGGGATGGAGGGACGGCAGGACCCAGTTTCCACACCCGTGGGAAGGCTGAACTTTGTTTTCTCCCTCCTTAGCTCTCCCCCGTGGGGATCACACAGGGCTGTGCAGGGCAAAAATCAGAGCAAAATCCTGTTCTGGGGGAAAAACAAAGATCATTTTCTTTTCCCCCCGGGTTTGGATGGGAGAAAAGCAGCCAGGCTGCCCCAGCTTCCATAAAACCTGGGGTATCCCTGACCAGAGGAACCTTCCCAGAGGGTTATCCCCTCACGCAGAGCTGCTCCTGGCAGTGCAGTGTGGGTTGATCCAAGCACCAAGGGATGTGTGAACAGTTCAGTGGGACAGCAGGAGGTCCCAAGGAACACCACGACACAGGAAGATCTGGATTTTGCAGTGTCAGAGGAGCAAACAGAACCGAGGAAGCCCCAAGGAGCCCGTGGAGCAGGGCCAGGCTGGGCTGGTGCTGAGCTCCTTCCTCCTCCCTGCTCTTGGTTAAACACCAAGCCTTTGCCAAAACCCCTGGTTTAACCCTTCCTTCCGCCCTGCCCCAAGAGCTTCCCCAGTGCTTTGCTTTTTTCCCAGTTCTTTCAGTTGAATTCAGAAGCACCAGGAACATGAGTGTGCCCTGGGAGACACTCGGAGCACAAAGACCAGGGGGGGAGATGGTTTGAGGGGTTTCCCTGCCTGCTGAGGGCACAGGGACTGCAGGGATGGACCTGCTTTCCTACAGCCCCCCTCGCTCAGCTCGTCTCCTCCACCCCTCAAACACCTCAAGTGGAGGGAGGAAGGAAAACCTCAGCTTTGGGACAACAACCCTCATCATGGAATCACAGGATGGGACCTTAAGGCTCATCCAGTTCCACACCTTCCACTAGCTCAGGCTGCTCCAACCTGGCCTTGGACACTTCCAGGGATGGGGCAGCCACAGCTTCTCTGGGCAACCTGTGCCAGGGTCTCTCCACCCTCACAGGGAAGGATTTATTCCCAATAATGCATCTGAATTTCCCCTCTTTTAGTTTTAAACCATTCCCTTGTCCTGTCCCTCCATCCCTTGTCCGAAGTCCCTCTTCAGCTCTCTTGGAGCCCCTTTAGGCACTGGAAGGGGCTCTGAGGCGTCCCTGGAACCTTCTCTCTCCAGGCTCAACAATCCCAACTCTCTTCACCTTTTCCAGGCTGAACAATCCCAAGTCTCAGTCTTCTCCTTCAGCCTTCTCCAGGCTGAACAATCCCAGTTTTTTCAGCCTTATCAGCCTGGGCTCTCACAGTTGAACAAGTGTCCCTCATCCTGGGGCAGGAACCAGCACCTGCTCCAGAGAAAACCAACCCAGCACGGTGCTGCAAACACACGGATATGCACAGAACCCCATGTTTTGTCAAGATATAACCCAAACCTCAGTCAGACAGTGACAAAAACCCCATGAAAACACTAAACCCCAGCAGCCAGGCTGAGGTCCTGGCACGTCTCACCTGATGCCAGGGGCCGGATCCACTCCTTGCTGTTGAGGTCGAGTCTCCAGAGGTCGTTGAAGGCGGCGTTGCAGCTGCTCTGGGTGCAGCCCCCGAACACGTACATGGACTGGTTGGGGTCGTAGTAGCACGCACCTGGAATGGCAAAGGGGGCTGTGAGCACAGCTGGAATGGCAAAGGGGGCTGTGAGCACAGCTGGAACAGCAAACACAACCATCAGCACAGCTGGAACAGCAAACAGGGCTGTGAGCACAGTTGGAACAGCAAACAACCATCAGCACAGCTGGAACAGCAAACACAACCATGAGCACAGCTGGCACTGCCCTGCTCTGGGGGGTGTTGGTGTCCCAGGGTTTGGCAGAGGGGGTTTAGGGGGTGGGTTGTGAGAAGCTGCCAGAAACTTCCCCCGTGTCCGTGGAGCCAATTCCAGCTGCCCCAGGACGGACCCGCCACTGGCCAAGGCTGAGCCCAGCAGGGATGGTGGGAACCCCTCTGGAGTGACACAGCTAAGGAGGAAAAGGTTCTTGTGCAGATGGAATCGAGTGCAGAGAGGAGAGGAACGGGAATGTGTGAGAGGAACAGCTCTGCAGAGCCCAGGGCAGGAGCAGGGGCAGGAGCTGCTCCAAGGGCCAGAGCTGGGATTCCCCTGAGATTCCATGGGGAAGCCCAGGGAGAGGCAGCTGAGCCCCTGCAGCCCAGGGAGAGCCAGGATGGATCA